GTCTAATTTCTTATGACTGAACCCGCAATCTAGTGAAACATTTCGCAACGTACTTAACGATTCGTAATTATAATCCGCGCATGTCATTCACCCTATCACTGATATCTGGCTATGTTGGCAAATTATTCTCAATCTATATACAATCCGACGAATCACTTCTTCCCAAGCATCACCAAGCTTCTTTAGTTCTTGTCCCAATCTTTTTCGTTTAACTTCATGATCTATATACAACACCTCCGGTTCTTATAACTCTGTTTATGGTGAGTATAAATTATTTCAGTTAATTCCTGCATTTTCTTCACAAGTTGGTTTTCTGAAGAATCATTATTCTCTTCCTCGAGACGCGATGCAAAATTATCCTTTGCGTTTGAACGTGTGAGTCTTTATTGGGCGAACTCCGCTTGCTCTTTCTCCGAATCACTATCACTCACTTCGTTGACTTCATGAAAAGGCCTCCAGAACACAAAACCACTACGATTGAAATTATAATTCTTTGAATTTCGAGTTGAACCAATGAAGGCAACCTAGCTCGTACCGCACTTCCCAGCGCAGGCTAGAAGATTCTTATCACACAGAAGACCGCCCATGCAACTCTGACCAATCAACATTCAGGAGTAACCAATGAGACGCGGGTTTCTAGCATGACAGCGCTCGTTCAGTCCACGTTGACTGCACAGACTGCATACCGGGAGACCTCAGTAGAAAATATCTCATTCATTCCTATTCCAATGTTAAGCAAATCGACAAATCCTCGTATCGTCCTCAAAAACGGAAGTTCTTCAACTGACTTCGCATAAACTATACCATTAGTTAGGTAATAGGTGATGTATTGCATGTTTGAAATGCGGTAGGATAGAAAAGAATATATCTACGTTGTCTAAGTTATTATAACTACGACACGTCGTGGAGATTGGACAGTGAAAGTGATTTAGAGTGTGTGGAATCCCAATGTTGAATAGCAGTTGGGATCTAGATGCCACACGTGGAACATTGAAGTTGAGAAAGGATAGTAGAGTTGACGAATCTATCAAATTGTTGACAATTTTATACATGAATATCAAGTCGCCTTTTTCATGGTGCTTTCTTAAGGAGCACAGACCAAATTCTGCATGAAGCAAATTGTAGACGTATCCTCTTTCAGGATAGCTACCGTCCTTTCTCAGATAGCAAACTTTTTAAAAATTATCTTGTATACTTTAAATATTTGTGATGAATTTCAAGTGATTGGAGTTCCACACTAGGCAACAGTATTCGAGCTTACTTCTGACATGAGTATAGTACAGGGTGCGTTATGTATCTATCAAGGTGAATTCCTTACAATTCCTTATCAAGAATTCAAATGACTTGGTGGCTCTTGAGATGGTGTTATCAATGTGTTTCGAAAACGTCAACGTAGGATCAAATGTTACGCCGAGATCTTTGAATTCAAAATTACCAAAGTCCGAGTGTGTATATTTGATAATTAAATTCAACTGGAATTTGTTTCCTACTGAAAGACATAATTTTGCATTTATCATAATCTACTGACAAATATTCTGACACCTATTCATCATTATAATTACCAATATTATTATTTATCTTTAGTTAATGACATACACTCATTAGTTGCATGATATTTTGGCATGCACGCTTTGTTCAAATTGATTTCATAAAATAAGAAATAAATGTATGTAAATATATATATAGGTACTAATGATATGTAAATACCAAGAAAGGACAATATTTCATCATATCAAATTCAATTTCTTATAATCCCCGCGTTTCATTTTTTTAATTCGTTCTGTATTTTTGTTGTTCATTTGTGCTATTCGTTCGTTTTTTCATATAGATATGCAGATCTCATGAGTAACTATGTAACTATATTCTGTGATATATATGAGTATTTTTGAATTGAGAAGTAGGAATATGATCGTTTTTGTGAGAGAATGTTTGTTTTGTTCGATCCTTTCTGTTGGAAATAGGTTACTTAACTGCTTACTAAAAGTATACAATGTTTTGATGTCATAGGTTCATTTCATTATCCTTTCTTGGAATTCGTATAGCATGAAATAGATCTCAAACAGAACTATTGAAATCATCTGAATTTTCAACAAGGTATCCAATGATGGAAAAAAATTCTATCTGGCAACCCTGGTCCGCGCAGAGAGTTAGTTGACAACTACTGTCATAAGCTGTTGTCAAATTGATTATTCACCAAATTCGATAGATTTCACTTGTGAATAGGACCGTGATGTGAATAATTAGTATTTGAGGTCGCAGACTCGACTATAAAAGACAGTGTTTCGTCTCTGGTACATAAATAACTATCTCATTCATGCAATAAAATTGTGAGAAATTCGACTCGTTCCATTAATGATTATCGAAACTTCCTCCTCTATTTTGAAACAACTCATGTTGCAAGTAATGATATTACAAATGCGATAACCGTAAACAAGGCACTTTGCGAGTTCATCCCAAGAATCCTCGAACGACCAATATTCATCAAATCCCAAATTTGCGAGCGAGTTTCAAACTGCGATTAAAACGTACAGGATGAATCTCTACGAGCCACTACAGAATTTATTACTTCATAAATCCCAACTGAAGTCATGCAAAGTGGAATCGTAGCCCTATAGAACAGAAATTAGAGAAGATGTACCTAAATGCATTGATTTATGTCATTTATCGATGAAGAAAAAATGGTGGGTGCATTATCATCCACAGGGCGTTTCATGAGTAATACAAAATAGGTGAATACAATATGCGCATGTTTGATATATGAGCACGGGCCGTTGTTTGGTTGTTTCATGAACGATGGCAACACACATGATACAGACAGTTTTCTGTTAAATTATTGTCAGATTTTAGTCGGTAAAACAGCACGCTGCAGGCGCAATCAGACTGGTGTCCATAGATAAACTACTCTCTCTGCTAAAAATCATCTTTTCAAGACGCCGGTAGGTATAATATTTCAGCGATGAGTTTTTTATTATGACTTTTTAAAAGACAGTGTTAATGAACTGCAATATTTTGTGTTCCATGAATGGATATTGAAGCTGAGATTGGGGTGAAAAGCAATCGATTCAAGGTAACACTCAAGACGAAAACATAACATAAACTAATTTACCTTCATGTTTGGCAATACGCCCTTGTCCGTCATTATGCGGAGTTGGCAATGTGCACATAGGCATCGAACATCAACTTTCGGAACAAACTTTCGATTTATAATGATCATTCTGAGTCTGATTCATCTTGAGAAAAATGTTGATTATGGATTTCGGTAGATAGTAGGTGAAAATAGCTTGGAACAAAATACCTGTTGAAACCTGGCAACATAATAGTTAAACCGATTTTGTTTCGAAACTTTCAATCAAGTGATATTTTGTGTGTTTTATATAACCTTTTTCTAACTCTAACTCTAACTCTAACTAGAGAAGAAAGGTCGCACGCATATTTTGTATAGTTGTATTCTCGTTGTATTCTATACAATAGTGATTGAGGATGACATGAATTTACATTGCATATAGGTACCTATCTCGATATATTAGACTCACAGTTGATATTATAAACGTTACCGACCAGACATTCATTGTTGCACTTATCCATAAAATTCTCTTCAGAAGGAAAAAGTTATTATGTTCGTGATCGCAAAACAATCCTATATTCACTGACAAACATTGATGCATGGGGTTCTCGATTGAAAACTTTTGTAGACGCACTCATTCACATCGATATCACCAGATAGTCTAGTTTGATTCTGACACATTATTTTATTTCCACTCATATGCTCTGCTGTCTCATAATCTTCAAGGGGAGCCAAATATGGACATATGATGATTTATTCATTGTAAAAACTCCACGAACGATAAGATTTTCACGAAATTCTCAAACACACGACATGTTTCGCTAACACAGCAGCTTCTCCAGGTGATGTACTTATACAATGAATTAACTAACCTTGGCTTGATTAACTTTTATATATCCTACTTTTCCAACCAGAAGGATTAGTTACCTGTGGACAGGTTCGAACAGCCTTCATTTTCGAAATTAGGCACAATATCTACATTAAAATACGGTGTACCAGATCAACTTGATAGGGTTGATACCAATTACATATTATTATACCTACTCCAAAAACAAATTCAACAGTGGTGAACTCAATAGTGTATTTGCTATCAACCCTGTCAAGTTAATCCGACAGACCGTATTATTGCACATATTGTGCCTAATTTCCGATAATGAAGGTTTATCGAACCTGTCCATAGGTAACCAATCCTTCAGGTTGGGAAAGTAGGAAAGATGAAAGTTAAGCATGCCAAGGTTAGTTTGGTTCTACCAGCAGATCACCTGACGGAGCTGATGTGCTAGCGACACATGTCGTGTGTTTGAGAATTTTGTGGAAATCTTATCGTTTGTGAAGTTTTCACATTTGTCATGAATTTCCATCAAGTAACTGCCGAGTCAATTGAAAAAATGAAGATTTATTCATTGTTTGATGACATTTTCCGAAGGATGTATACATGCCTTGGAATGAGCCAATTCTGGCAGATTTTTTCTGCAACCGGAAGAATTAACACCTAACTAAATTGAATATAGTGAAGTAACGACCAATGTGACTCACTCGACAGATTATTACAATGATATGACGATATGAGTAAGTAGATTTGGAAAAGGCCTCAGAATACTTCGCTTTGTCACAATTTGTGTTGACGTGCATCATTTCAAGGAAGACTACAGGTCAGTTTGATCCAATTTCATAATATTACAAATTGACTATGTATGTCATTGTGTTCGAGTTTCTTGTTGAATTTGATGAATTACTTACACCTATTACATATTTTCCAGTTTCTAGGAGTCAAAGTTCAACTTCAGCTCCTAGGAACTGAAATTGTTGCATGGCAACATACCTATTTTTGGTCAGTAACGGAAACGTCAACCCCAACAGCTAATTTTGGAATGAAAATGAACGACTTTTGAGACGGCTGCAAAAAACTTGTTCATTTTTTCATAATGAATTTCAGGAGGAAGTCGTCGTGCCACGAGGATAACACTCTGTATAGCGGTCTCGATATGGATCCTGGCCATATTCTGCGCAGTTCCTGCAGCTGTTGGTTCGCACATCAAGGGCTTTCCCGAAGACAACGTTCAATTCTATGTCTGCTACCCCTTTCCCCTCAACTGGATGGGCGGCCGGTACCCGAAGGTCATGGTTCTCAGCAAGTTCCTGATACTCTACGTCATCCCTCTGGCCATCATCGGGATATTTTATCTGAGCATGGCCGTCTTTCTGATTCTGAGTACCAGGAATATGCCAGGAGAGATGCAGGGGATGCATCGGCAGGTGAGGTGTCGAAAAAATCACGAATTATGCTGAAAAATCACGGATTTGGCGAGAAAAATGATAATTTGTTGACATCATCTCCTAATCAACAAAATATCTTGTTCACAACAAAATATTATTACACTATGAGGGAATGTGATATCAGTCTCAGTCACATAGAGGTCATTATCACCTATAGAGTTCCTCTAACATCACCATTCAACTGAACATCAATCACTTCATGAAATCCAATCAATCGCGAAGTAGACAACGCCCACAGGTCAACACTGCCAATCAATTAAACACTTCAAAGGATTCAATTATATCCAGATTGACAACCATTTTCACGTCATTGATGCAATATATCATTACTCCTGCCCCACTACCCAATTATGACTTTGCCATCTGCTAATCACCACAACACACCCCCTCCTAAGCTCCTCCCCAGACCACACCCCTTGTCGTCCCAACCTGTCTCTTTATCTACTGGGTATTATTACGATATTTTATCTAAGCATGAACGATTTTCTGATTCTGCGTAACAGGAATCTGCCATTTCACCATAACGAAAGTTCAGTCACTATAATGAAATAAAAATCATGTAGAATTCGTGCTATCGAATAATTTGTTCAATCGACAAAATTTTCCAAGGAAAACAATAAAAGACACAAACTTCGTCGATCATACAAATCATAACGATGTGATATGATTTTTAGTCACACGGGTCATCATTACCTTCTTAGATCCCCTTAAATTATGTACCACCCCACTCAGCATCAATCACTTCAAGAAACTCAATCAATCAAATTAATACACGCAGTAGATAACACCCGCAGGCTAACTGAGTCCACCGCATACAGATTCAACAACTTCCAATCAAAGTCAAGATGACATCTTCCTTCGCGTCATCGATGCGAGATTTTATTTTTCACTCCTGAAGATTCACCCCCACGTTGAGTCATCTGACAAAGTCATGCCATCATTCAATGAAAACAATGCCCTTGCTCATGTCCAATCCAGTTCTAGAACCGCTACACCACTCCCTATATGACTCCGCCCTCTTTCAGACTCCACCTCACATCTTCACCTGAACCCTGTTTCAGACCACGCCCCTTGTTGGTCCAACGTGTCCCTTTATCTATTGAAACAAGGAAGAGTCCAAGCAACACTAACTTCAGCAGCACATGTTGGAAAATAGCAAATCTGGCCAATTGGAATAGTTATTCATCTATCAAGGGCGTGAAAAAGGCATTTATGGACTGCAGCGTAGAGGTAACAGACCAAGCGAAACGAGGTACCTAAATCGTAACAAGAACAAGCCTACGATGGAGATACATACATCATTTTATGCTCGACTATTCACCTCCTTTCACGCCAGAGGACGCTAATGAGTTATTTTACTTATGTTGAACGGGACAATTGAGTGCAATTTTATGCCCGCTCGTGCATAAATATCATGGTATAATCCATCCATCCTTGGTAGAAGTCCATATTGCTCAAAGTGAAATGAAATGTTTCAATGAGAGGAAGTAAGAAATTCTCGAAGTCATCTCCACAAATTTTGATGATATTGATCAGCGACATGTTACGGTCTTAGATAAGACCGTCTCCAGCTTGATTACTGTAGCATTATTATGTTGTGAAACTCCTGATTTGGCTGGTGATGGTCTTTTCTAGGACCAGAACATGTCCCTGATTGTATAACAACATCATTAAAATTTGTGGACACGACTCCGAGCAATCTCCCTTTCCTTCGATTCTCTGATAATCTATCCAGTTTTTTTTTGTATATTTCAGGTGAAAGCCAGGAAAAAAGTGGCAGTGACAGTTCTGGTCTTCGTCGCAGTGTTCGCCGTTTGCTTCGCCCCTCTGCATGCTTTCATGCTCTTCTTCTACTTCCATCCCCAGTCGCTGGAGCTCTACAACGCCTTCTGGCACTATCTGAGGATAGTCGGATTCTGTTTGTGCTACATCAACTCTTGCGCCAATCCTGTTGCTTTGTACTTCGTGAGCGGTGCATTCAGGAAATACTTCAACAGGTGACTTTTGTACACACAGTTATCCTTTACATTGACATAGGCCCGTATTTATAGTCGTTTCCTCAAGAACTCCTCAAGTCTTCCTTATCTGAGGATTTCTTGAGGACTCCTCAGTACTTGACGTTGAACTTGTTTTAGGCCCGTATTTATAGTCGCCTCGTCCCTTGAGGCATCCTCAAGGACCAGTTTCCAATTTATATTTGGAATATAAGCTCGAAGGAAACCTCAAGGAAATATCAATTCCAAGGAAAGGAATAGGTGCCTTGAATAATAGGTATACATTACAAATAATGGAAACTCAGCTTATTTGATGATTTGTTTATGGAATTAAAATACATACTTTATCAATGACCACACAATGAAATCACAGATTCATTCCAAGTATTCAATTGAAGGGATATTCTTCATCTCCCCTTATTATTGCATTGCAGCTTAAGAGAACCCGTTTTTAATAGATTAATTTTCATATTGTAATTTTTCAACATCGTCATCGATAAACTCTTCGACCCCTACTTCATTATGCAGAACCTTGGATACATTTTGTCTGTGATCGTGTACGGCATTAGTTCCATACTGTTGCAGTACCTCTTACAATCCATTATTCCGCAACGCCGTACAAAAAATCATGCGACAAGGGGAAAAGATCGAGGGTTGGAACCCCCTTTTTTCCGTAGTCCGGGGAGGTGAATTGACACAACATAAAATCACCCCCAAATTACCCTTAAAATTAGCCGGAAAATAAAAAGAAATTCGACTTACTGGCGCACTATTTTTGTACGATACTACGCGTTTTCTCATTATTTTTGATGCATCTATAGGTGGCCAGAGTGCCGTACAAAATCATTTGACCAAAATATGCCTACTCAACTTGTGCTTTCCAATTCTCACCTGCAGTCAGTTGGACAGCTTACAAGTGACGGAATAGTGCTTAATCTCATTATTTCAAGCCCTTTTATCTTACTACCTAGGTCATCTGCTGGTTCAGATGACCTTACGATTCTTGACACGGGCCTATAGTCTACTTCAAGTACCTACCTTATTTTCCTACCGCTGGTGAAAATGTACTTGTCACAATCGGCTTTTTTTGAAGAAAACTATTCACTTGGCCGAGTTTTTTCAGTGCATCGGAAGATTTTGAAAATCCAGTAATAATCCTCAAAGGTTGGTTCAAATTGGGACTAACAATATATTACTTCGATCAAAGACAAAATATATCCAAGGTTCCGAAAAATCAAGAAACGGTCGAATACTACCTATATATATATATATATTTGTAAATATGCTAAATTCCCATTATTAGTGATATATCACTCTGACTGACCGCCGACAGCTTGATCTCGTGCTGAGCCGATGCATTTTCATTGGTTCGAACGCGTCGGGCCACGCGAAGTTTTCAGAGTAGGAAGCATCTAAGTGATCAGCTTATCGCTGCTCAGATATTGCGATGTTGATGTACAGAAGATCATAAAAGGATGTCAGCTAAAATCCACCGACGCGACCTGACAAGGCATTTTTTTTCAATGTATATTAGTAAAAGTGCATGATATACTCCTATATTAGTTATTGATTTATCGATAAACTCACAGGGGTCCGAACATTTGCTACAACAGCAAAAGAATAAAACACCGAAAGCTATAGAAAAAATTGTTCAATTTGTTACAAAAATCTCCTGAAACAATATGTACAAGAAAAGGGGGTTAAAAATTAGGTGAAGAGAGTGTGGAAGCATTCAGAAGGCTGCCAATAAGAGATGCCTTCTATATATGCATTGAATGTCATGTGAAAACCCATTGCAACAATAATCAGATTCAGATATGTTTATGAGTTTTTTCACATTTTATAAAATAAACGTTTTTGAGGCATCATTGCTGCTATGAATTTCATAGTGAGTGCCACAAAATAATTACATACGTTCATTCGAGCGCCGCGAATTGATGGAGATTTGAATGAATCGTCGGTCGTTTTTGCATGACACGGCTCGAGCTGAAACTTCTGCTGTCGGTTCAAAATCACTTCTTTGGTTTTAGTATCATGCATGATGACTGACGAAGTCTTCAATAGAGAGAGAGAAAACAGGGTCCCGGCAGCCAAGAGTGATATATCTATGATTTGAAATGAAAAAGGTGTACTTTTCAACCAAATTTGAATCCTTTTCTGGAAATCGATATACTCGAATCTGATTCTCTGTACCAATTTCAAGACTTGAATATCCATTATTACATTCAATTTCGTCATTCCATTCATGGCATTCATAACATAACCTAAAATAATACTAGATATTGGATCAAGGAATGCTCAAGGTACCTCTTTACCTTCCTCGGAATTAACATTTCCTTGAGGCTTCCTTGGAGCTCATAATACGACTATAAATTGGAAACTAGTCCTTGAGGATGCCTTAATTATGTAAAGCCACGCTTCTTCTTTTGTCGTCCTGAAACAGAGGTCTTCACAGAGTTACTTTTTAATGATCACAGGGTTCGTGATTACAAAGGCAGGAGGCAGACTGCGTGTACTATGTGGTGTAGATATTGAGACTCCATATAGTTATTGATACATTTGAAAGAGTTGCTGACTATACTGGGTGGGTCACATTCGATAGTTTCTGTGGACGTTCATGGACAACGGAACATGGGACCAGTCTCAAAATTTAGTTACTCGAGTAGTTTCTTTTGGTCCATCGATCTGAACTATTTTCAGCAAAGCAGCGTTGCCGTTTTTACCAGGAAGTATTAGCAACTTCGATAATTCAAATGGAATAACCTGAATTTTATTGCATTTTTGGATTCTCCCTAGAGAGTTGATTTCACCATTGAATCATATTTGGAGTCTAGCGTAAAAGATTTCAGAGATATGAGGTGTTCACTAGAAGACTTTTCAAAGTTTTGATTGCTTCGTGTCGAAACTATTCGTTATCAGTCAGAACGGCTCACATGTACCCATCAACTTCTGATTTACTATCTACTGACATTCAATAACAGACATGGCGCTGGTCAGAATCCTGAATCTTAAACCATCCTGTATTCGTTTCAATAAAATGTCAGTAGATATAGAATATCAACCAATAATAGAAAGTTTCGACACAAAAAATCCTATAGTTGAAGAATCACCGTTTTGAACACACTATATCTCTGTAATATTTCCCGCAAGATCTCAAGGGCGAAACATTGATAAAATCAACTCCTCATGGAGAATCTCGAAATGCAATTCAATACAGAGTGTTGCTACTACTTTCTGGTATGTGTGGCAACCCTGTATTGCTAGAAATATTCCAGATATATCGACCAACAGCAACTACTCAATTTACCAGATTTTCAGAATTACCATATTATGTCCCGTTCTACGTAAACGTCTAAGATTCCATCGACAGTGACCCACTCTGTATAGTTAGAGGTGAAACTATGTTATTGGGAAATGCAGCAAAGTGAATCAAATAACTCTTCAAAGTTTATCCAAGCTTTCGGAATATAATATTTCCATCATCAGGAGACTGATAGATACATACAGCGAGCGTCTCTCAAAATTGCTGGGACACAGAGCTACCATTTGTAATGGAGGTCAAACTGAGTTGATTGGACCCAATTTATTCATATTCATGTACCGTTGTACCACGAAGGAGTGCGAAGCCTCAACTCACTAGAGTCTAGCCATAGCACCAGTGCGAGAATATTGCGCCTGGTGCGCAGGTCGCTGGGCGCGAGAAATTTCGTTGCTTGCGAGAAGGGTTGCGGCCGTGCGGCGCGGGACAAATATTGGAGCGAAAGTAGCGAAACAATATAGATCATCATTGGTAAAAGAATACCCAATACCCTTAATTGGCGGCGAATCATGTATCACGGGAAGGAGATTTGTTGGTTGCCATTCGAACTGTTTCCAGAATATGTACTCATTTATCGTTTGACCTCCAAGTCTAGCGTTTCACACTTTAAAAATGCAATCGAACTGTTGTGCAGAATGTTCGAAAACATTCAGTTCTTTTCAAAATCTCAGAACTCATTGTTTGAAGTTACATCCAACAAAGATAGCCCCGTCGAAGAAAAGTGAAAAAGTGTTTTCCTGTGATGAATGTGGACAACAGTTTATAAATCAGAGGGAGTTAAAAATTCATACAAAGAAATGTAACAATTCATCTACAAATACTATGAAAGAAACAGGTAATTCCACTTGTCCAATGTGCAGTGAAAAATTATTGAGTAAACAATTCGAGAGACATTTGGAAATTTCACATGACTTAACGTTGGTTAAAGAAAATATTGAATTTCCATCTTATGAAAAATATATCGAATGGACAAATGATATTGAACAGAAAGAAAGAACTTACTTCATCAAGATTAGAGGAACGAGAAAAACATCCAAATTAGAGAGACAATATTTTCACTGTCATCGTTCGGGAAATTTTCACTGTTCGCAATATTCTGAAAATATTATTTAATGAACATTCTGGAATATTATATCACAGGATAGCTTCTAGGAATGTACTTTCGAATATTCGCATGGAACATTCCATAAATATTCGCAACATACTGAGAACTTTCTATGCATATTCTTCAGAATATTATTCTAGAAGATGACATTTTCGCAGCTTGTAAGAATATTCTGAGAATATTCGTGCTATCTGGGGATATATATATGTAATAATTATGAACAGTACAGTTGTTAATTCAATTTGAATAAATTGATTTGAGGTGTGTCACGATTCTAGGGATCACCATGTAACATGGTATCAACTAGGAAAGCAGTTGTCTAATGTATCATTTCACAACAATGACTTATTTGTTTTTGTTTCGCTGCAATTTCTCGCGCCCAGCGAGCAGCGAGCGAAGCGCAATATCATTTCACAATGACTTATTTATTTTTGTTTCGCTGCAATTTCTCGCGCCCAGCGACCTGCGCACCAGGCGCAATATTCTCGCACTGGTGCTATGGCTAGACTCTAGTCCTCAACTCGACGGGTTAGTCTCGCGGGGACTGCAAAGGGAAGAACAATTGTTGATATTTATAAAATAGAGCCAGATCGCCAACTTTTCTACGGTGTTCCAGAGAAGTGTGTGAGTTTGTCAGCGAGGCATCATTCACGAGACGAATTGCCCCTTTGATCTCTATTACACGTGGTAGTTCTGTGCCACAGCAATTCTGGAACACCTTTTATATTCAAAAAACATCTTATGGTCAGGTAGAGTAACAATCGTGGATAGGTTGAAATTACTTATATTTTGAGTTCAACATTTTTGCAATTTCTTTTTGTGTTCTTTGTTACAGTCACAGAAATAATATAACAGATTGGAGACACTTTGGAGATGATTCGAAACTGGACTCAGGACACTTTTATGAATTCAATGAATCTATTTCTAGATTCTCCTGCTTATAAACTGAAATGTTGTCATGAATTCAAGCAGAAAAAGTAATGTGCAAGAAGATGATTTCGATGTTTACAGAATTATAGTTTTCAGCCTGCAGAAATATTGTCACATCATCTTACAAAAATCGATTCAATTTGATCTCAGAAGTTAATTACACAAAAAAAGTATTCGATGTTTTTATTAATTGCCTCAATAATCATCTGGAATTCAAGGGATCACTCTGACAATCTTTCTCCGTTTATAAATATACCCTGGACGTATCGACACTGTCCTGATCTGTTTTTCAAATGCCATCAAGTACATAAGAGATCACGTAAATTGATCAGTATTATACTAAATTTATGCATCGTGAGGACTTGATGAATATATACAGTTCTCAACACACCAAATGGACCACTCATAATTTGACTCTATTTCGAAGACCTGTATTTTTTTTTTAAATTGACCGATCTTCATGCGGTTTTCGATATCAGATGTGATGTTTCATCGGCTTCGAAGAGAGCTAGAACAATCTGAAAAAGTCCGCAAAACAAAACTTACACAGGGTGTAAAGTGGAACCATTACACTATGGTCTACATTTCCAATGCTGCCAGAACTCGAGAAATTTCTTTCTGATCAAAAGTCAGTCATATTATGATACACTGGAACCTCATCTCGGGACGTTTTCGTGATTTCTCCTCAATTGGCCATTGGAACAAAAATTAGATTTTTTTTCGAAAGTCTTGCATTTCTTGATTTTTTTCTCTAGAACTCCACTTGAGCTGACTATTGGGAAGAACTATTCTCATGTTTTATGGAGGATAATGAAAGACGAAAAAAGCACTCTTTTGGAATATACTGAATGATCAGAAAATAGGACAAAATCTCATTTCAGTGAAAAAAATCAAAAATGGTGACTAAAACTATGGCCCATTCGATCCAGTATATTCAGAAACGGCCTTCTCGATATCCATTATTTATATTAGACTACTAACTCGAGATGTTTCCGAAAATTCGCCTCTAAATGAAATACAGGATGACATTTTTCAATTGAAACTTGTTTCCTGATATCGATGATTTTCAATATTTATTGCTCAAGTATGAGAAACGGAGGATTGTTGTACAATATACTGAGTGTTTTACAACTCATCTGACAAATTTCAACCACAAATTACATAAGAAGTCTATCACAAAAAAAATTCAATAAAAGTGAAACGAGATGGAAAATAAAATTTGTAACACTTTATATCAACTAAAACTATTCGAAAAGGGTGATAAGAAAATAGGACAATACAGGGTGAAAATGTTCAATTCAAACTTGTTTCCTGATATCGATGATTCTCATTATTTTATCAACGGATTTCCAATATTAATTGCCCAAGTATGAGGCACAGAGCATTGTTGTTCAATAAACTGAGTGTTCCACAACTTATCTGACAAATTACGAACTCTAGAAAACAATAATGTTAGAAGAATGTGGTGCCAGCATTATCTCCAGATCTGAATTTGATTGAACATGTGTGCAGCCGAATGGAACTTAACCTATCGAGAAGGTGAGGCACCCCAAAATAATGACAACCTTATCCAGAATGGGCGGCAATATCAATAGACTTCATCAACAACCTCATAGAATCTATGCCAAACCGATTTCATGAAGTTTCGTTGAATCGGGGAGGCCTACCAAGTACTGAAATTCAGGATATAGGACTTTCTAGTTGGATCTTCATAATGCTGAAGAATTCGATAATGTCATATTTCGCCAATAGAGCCCTTTTCGAATAGTTTTAGTGGATATAAAGTGTTACAAATTTTATTTTCCATCTCGTTTTACTTCTATAAATTTTTTTTGTGATAGACTTCTTATGTATAATATCGTAGTTGTGGTTGAAATTTGTCAGATAAGTTGTAGAACACTCAGTTCATTGAACAACAATACTCTGTGTCTCATACTTGGGCGATAAATATTGGATACCATAAATATCAGGAAACAAGTTTGAATTGGGAATTTTCATCCTGTATTTCATATAGAGATGAATTTTCGAAAACATCTCGAGTTAGTAGTCTAATATAAATAATGGATATCGAGAAGGCCGTTTCTGAATATACTGGATCGAATGGGCCATAGTTTTAGTCACCATTTTTGATTTTTTTCACTGTAGTTCGAATTCATATACCAGAATGTTTTCTGTCTGATTGGGAAAGATCCTAATAAGTTCTTTCGTTCTAGTATTGATAAATTTGGTTGAGTCACAGTGTTCATTACACTTACTTGTTATAGATATTTGTTATGTACCAAGCAGAAGAGGTATCTCTCCAGCCAATTCGGAGCGAGGAATACGTCCATGTCGATGGTTTCCATGAAGAGGAACCAGTCAGTGATGAGCAGAAAAGGCACTGTCCCAACCAATCGAAGACACGGTCCGACGTTGCCTCAAGAGACGTCTGTGACTCTTCTCGGAACAGGAGGTTTCTACGTTTGCACGGACTTGTGATAGCACAAATGTACTTTATAATTGTTCGTTCTATATGTATATGTTGAGAGATGAATTCGAAATTATACGTGAAATGTATGTTTTCCATAAGTGAATCTAATGATGTGTTGGAACTGCATCATCATCATCGAACCAAAAGCATCCGAACAGTTTTCTTTGAATGGGAATGAGAGATATGTCGGAATCTGATCTCAAGTAGTGACACTTATTGTTGAGAGAAATGATTGTGTATACTTAGTATAATAATCGATATCAATGAGTAAGACTCAGGCTATCGTATACGATTTATTTATTTAATGCAACTCGAACGTTTTCGGCACTAGGCCATCATCAGGAGAGTAACTGGAAAGTGAATTTTCCTCTCACTGGTACAATATATGTGAACATGTGAGGCTAAAAATCGATATGTAATTGTCAGAAGAAAATCGTTGAATAAATCAAAAACTCACTTGTCATCTATAGTCTTGCAGAAGATAAGCATTTTAAACGATGTAAATGTATTAATCAACATTGGTTACTTCATGCGAGATGTTTTTGGATTCATCCAAAATATTAAAATGGCACAATAATGAAGTGCTGTTCACTCTACTTTCGGGAAGAAGAGACATAAATCATCAAAATTGATAAAATGGCATAGTACAATTGACATAAAATTCAATTCCAATTTTGATACATATATAAACTAATTATACATAACTTCACAGAAAACAATCTCCATATGGACCTTCTTGAGGATCTTGAGATAACAAATGAAATGCAAATTAATGATCACTGCCTAAACACACAAATACATCTCAATCAAACACGCTTCAAACAAATTTTCAAGTCTCTAAAAAAAACTTTATCTCATCCAATAATTAATATTGATTTACCTCTTTGTTCAAAAACAATGAAAAAATACCAATTTGGAATGCTTATCTGCAATGCACAACCTGCTTATATGATTCATTCAATAACACACTAAGAATTCTAATTTTCCAATTCTATTCTCAGTTACTTCTCCTGATTTGAAAACAATGTACGTAACACATATATTTTTGGATAAATCCAAAAACATCTCATGAAGTAACAAATGTTGATTAATATATGTATATTATCTTTAATGCTTATCTTCTGCAAGACTCTATGACAAGTGAGTTTTTGATTACTTCGAACGTTGTTCTTCTGACATCAACAAATTGATTTTTGACCTCACATATTTACATATATTGTACCTGTATTCGCAGGAATCAATGATACCAGGTGGCGCTCGGTTTTCATCGTTCCATGTCGAAGCCATGATAAGAGTGATAATTTCTTGACATTATTTGTCAAAATTCGATCGAAAACGCCTGTTGTAGATGTTCTTTTGGCAGATATTTTGCTCTATTTGTATGGAAAACGCCGACCAGTAGTGGAAGGAGGAGCAGTTCTCCGTGTTATTATCATGTGATTTTGTGTGAGACAGGAGACTTCAATAAAAGGCACATTTTTGCAATTTTTCCACAAACTTCGGCGATGAAATCTTCCCCACATGAAGTAAAATTGAAGTTGGGGTCCAGAGGAACTCCTGTAGAACAATGGATTTGTATTTGTTCCTGCAAAGTAGGACAATCTGGGTATTGTGAACTTATTGTAGCTGTTCTGTTATATGTCAATTGATTAGCTCGTCATAATTAGTTTGAATTGTTTGAACTATCTCCAATTCTTCACCCTTTCACTGTTCACTGAACTAATAAAAATGTGATGATGTAAAAAAATTAACCAACTCAACCATCATCACTACCAACAGTACCAACACTTTATGTCATTGACAAGGTTGACTACAGCTACAGCAAGCTGAATGCAATGTAGTCTATGCACTTTATCCATAGACAACAGTTCGTTTTCCCTCAGTTTGAAGTTCGTATTATGTAACCTAGATATCGCCCACTTCGTGAATCTCGCGGATAAAAATTCCCTTTTCAGATACTCTCCTAGTGACGAGTTGGTATTCAATAAAGAAGTTGTATACTATAGCCTGAGTCTTACTCATTAATATTGATGATGACACTTATTGTGTCTGTCATTTACATAATACGAGATACATGGAAATAATACAAGAGAATTCATGCAATGCCTGCAATGTTGCGAGAACAAAAATGGCGTACAAGTCTGTACTACCTGGGAAATTGGTTCGAAATAGGTCGTGGAATTGAATCAATGAATAGAAATCGTGCTCACTATCGGAAATTTTATCAGAAATCTTGAACTCAATCAACTGCGTTCTTGTAGTAGGTCTTCAATATGTCTCCTTTGACAACGACTTGCAAGATAGAGAAACATTTGTTCCTTCGTCTACGAGTAAAAAGGAAACGACGATTATTGCAGACTAGAGCAACTAGATGGTATTAGTTCGATAAGAGATCGGACACAGAAATGACAAATCTCAGTGTTTCTGAATATTTAGATTCATTAAGTTACTCACCCGGCATTGTGACAAGAGCACTATAGTCGTCCCGCGCTTTCCGATTAAAATTTATTTGAATTTGACAAAAAATACTATAATGAACGTCAGAATTGGAATATAATTCCATAAACTATCGAGAAGAAAGCAAACATGAAAATGTCCTGCTGTGTAATGAACTGTGGGAATTCTGAAGAGAATTGATTTCAATTATTTAGTTTTCCGAAGGAAATATTGACCGTTCTCTTATAGAAGGAAAGTATGAAACCGCCTGGATGGAAAATTGATTTGAAGACAAGCCACATTTGTGAGGGACACACATTGAAATTCAATTCTCATAACTGCAGGTCAGAATGAAACTATATTTTTCAAACAGTTTTCAAACAGAAGATTTTGAGATCTGTTGTTCCATTCATTTGCAAAACAGACTGTTTGGAAAGAGAATTCATTATTATCATCACACGAAGAGTAAAACGAAGAAAGAGGAGTTGATTTCAAAAGTACGTAATGAAATTGAAAATTTGAGAACGAAATTGAGGAAATCAAGTGAATTGCCATGTGATATATCATCGAATGGCGATTTCAGGAACTAGCTATAAGTATATATCCATATGTGTCAATTTTGTCGTTAAAATTTTGTTACAATCATGTAGTCTTTTAATTTTTAAAAGTGATGTTTTCCTATGAATTGAAGTGATTGTTTATATCCTATTTCTATTTTCCATCTATATGGCTATGATTGCGTTGACAGTAAATATAACCTCTAAAATCGTATCTGACACTCAGGGGCGACTAGGGAAATTGAAAAGACAAAGTATATGTCTTATTCTTTCATTCACTCAAACCATTGTGATATAGAAAATAGAAAAGGACAGAAGTTCAGCTGTGTCCGAACTCTTATCTACTGATACCATCCATAGTGACTCTAATGCAGACGAATCAGCTATGTTTTCAAGAAATCGGCACTGGCGACTTTATAGTTTACCTACTTCCGTGATCCAGAAATGGAAACTGTTCAACTTTTTCGAGAATATATAATTCGATATTTTACATGGCATTTTATTGAGTGTTTCTTCACTATCGTTACACTTAGTCTTGATCATTTCTCGGAATACTGGAAGAAAACTCATCAATAAATTTCATTATGCCGTGTATTGAATTTTCAATATCAATTTGTGAATACTTTGCATTATAATTGAAACAGTGGGGACAGTATAATGTCCTTGTTGATTGAAGCATTGGTGAAAAGTTTCGTGATTCATTATCACTCAATCATTCTTCGTTTGAGAAATCAGGGTATAGAATGAATAAGACCTCTGCAGCACCTGAAATAAAATAAAATCTCACCTATCTTCATCATAATGATATTGCTTGAAGAAAGTTGACCTGCATATCTCTGCTGAAAAATTTCGAATAGATGCAATAATTTCAGAACAGTACATCCTTTAGAAATTCTGGGTTATTATTCGATAATCAAAATTCAAGGTAATCATGTCACCTCATTACATGAAGTCAACTTTTTGGGCGATTTGAGAAGAAATCATTTTATCACTTTCAAACAATTGCATTTTTCAACAGTTCAACTCTGTTGAAAAGGAATATTCTCAGATAAATTATGAACATACAAAAATGGATATATGTATATTTATATGAAGCAATACATTGAGAATTCGCATTCTCTATGTGATGAGAATATCTACTCTTTTTCAACACTTTCATACCCAATCAGGGGATTCAAACTTGAACGATGGAAACTTGTGATTTTTATAGACCTTTAATCGCAGATTCGTGATAGAGTCTCAAATCAGAATTTTCTTTCCACGCCCTGTATGATGAATGTCAATTTATCCATCACCCAAAAGTTCAACTCTGATTCATCATTTATTAACAAAAGTCCACATTCATTTTCATATCAATTTTCTGAAGAATTTGCTGAAATTGTGCTTGATAATCAACACCACTCCCCTTTGAATTACTGTTGCCTCCTTCCAATGATGAATACATGGTCAGAAATATTCAGTTGACGATGAAATTGCACTAGGTGAATCAATAAAATAGATTCAGAATTCGAAGATAATCAGGAAGAATGGAAGTGAAACAGAATCAGAGGCAAACCTAGAGGGGGGATAAGGGGGATATATTCCTTTCCACATGCCCGATAGCAAGACACAACTTATCTTCACGTATTACGTATCTCAATAAGAGTTTTGTGTCGTTGGTCGTTGTGTGAGACTAGCTCAAGAGCGCGTACTCAAATCAACGATGATGATAGGGTGGTTTTAGCATTAGCAGTTGAAACTGATGAAAGTGATTTCTCTCTACACCTGAATGAAAATTCCGTATTTATTTATTATTCCAATGAACATTTCAAATTTCAGGAACGAATCGATTCATACTGGATCTTTCTTTTATTTTATTCAGACCAGGGAAGAGTCCCTCTTATCCTGATATCTATAATGGAACAAAATGAAAACGGTATTGAAGTTTGATGCGAACAGCCCTTCTGCCCCAAATAAGTTTCAGAAATACATTCGAAGAATTGAAAGAAATCGAACGAAAAAAAAAATAAATATCAAAAACTTGAGAATAGTAAATTTGGTCA